GTGCCAGGGCTTGAATAGGCTGGTGGGCACTGCCAGGAGGGGTGTGTGAGCCACAAGTGGGACCCAGCTTTGTAAGGCTCCCTTTTCAGAGGGCTGCAACGCTGTGAAACTCGGCGCGGCTCTGCAGAGGAAGTGGAAGCTTTTCAACTGTACACGCTGTACTGAATCGCTCAGAGAGGCAAGGGGTCGCATTCAGTTATTCATTTTCCAACAGTTAATCTCTTTGTATTAATTACATCGAATCCACCAGTTTTGGCCAAAAAGATGGATTTTTTTATGATCCTTTGCTCGCATGGGGATCTGTACAGATTTCAACATTTCTTCTTCTGGTACAGGACTTAAAAACTGCAGGCATAGTAAGGGAAAGGAAAACAGCACAAGTAAGTAATTGTAAATCTGGAATTAACTATCATCTGAGGTCTTAAAATAAAGGCTCCAGAAGAACTACACCTAGGCCTAAGGGCTACTAGTGTGAGTGAGAGTGGCAAGCTGAGGCCATTTTATTATCAGGAACATGACATTTATTGCCCTGACACCTGTATTGTCAAACTGAGTACTTCAGAACTTACTCCTTTTGAAATCGCTAAATGTGCAGGAGTGCCTTCAGAGGTCATGTTAAGGACAACAGTTAACATGTGGGAGGTTTTTTCCTCTCCACAGTTAGAAGACTAAGCCATCATTTTACATATTGTGAATGAACAATACTGTGGTAAACTATTGGCATCTACAGCTTCTCTCACAGAAAAGACAAAAATAAAATAAAGCCTCTCCTCTTCCAAACGAACTTGACAAGTAGCATTTATTTTAGAAGTATTTTAGGGCATAGTGCTGAAGCAGATGATACTACTACAGCTGTGACATCATTATATTACTATGGATATATTTCTCCAAAATAACACACCAGGCCTATGGGACAGAGCTGGAAAATACCTAAAATAGCATTTGCTTGGTCATTGGTTGCTGATGGAACTTGTGACAACCCCATGACTATACTGGTGTTTGCACTAATCAAGAAATACTACTTGGATTAATATTTTGATCTCCACACTGTCAGCACCTGTCTGTAGTGGGTTTCCTTCAAAATATTTTCCACATCTTCCCTGAGGGCCCAGTGCTCCTTTTCAGAATTGCATCGGTCTCCTATGATGAAGTTTTAAACAAACCTTCATGTCTGCTTTAGAGAAAGCACAAATAACAAAGTGGATTTGCATCATGTCTTCCTTAGAATCTCCTGTCAACAGTAAAATTATTTGCCTTGTGTAGCCATGCTAGCTAGAGGAAGAATAATGAAATTACAGACTGCTTCCAAAACAAGAAAATTGCTATATTATTAAGGGAAGTAATGAAGTGAGTACTTGACAAACAGAAGTTATTTGAACATTCAGGGTTTTTTTTTTCTGTTTTGTCAGCAGTGTGTGCTTGTAATTAAGACATTACTGCTTTAGTAGTGTTGAGCATGGTCAGTACCCTGGGTCTTTAACCCATAATATCAATAATAACTTAAGTGCTTTTTTGAAAGCAATTCTAATTCTGAACATGAGTTTATGCAGAAAAACAAAGTAACTACATCAATACAATGTTTTCCTTGGTTTAAAAATGAAAAAAAAAACCAAACAAACACACAGTAAGATAATGTGTAAGTGTAAATGTAATATCCTACTTGTTATTTACAGATGGTAAATTTTGAGTTAAACTCATTAATTAAAACACATTTCATCAGCTACTTATAAAATTTAGCACTATTTTGTTTGATGTTGGTAGAAACAGGAAATTTGGAGTGATGTCTGTTGCTACAGCTGTTTGCAGTTCTTATATAACACCAGATGTGAGATTGATGTATCTGCATTTTGTCCTCTCCTGTGAATTGCAAGTGATCAAACAGGCAAAAACATAATGACAGGATGATTGGACAAGTTTAGCACAAAGGGAATTCATGACATTCACAAATCACTGCACAACCACACACACAGTGAAGGAAAATTTATTGCAGTGTCACAGATCAGCAAAACCATTTATGCCTACAGTGAATTTCAAATACAAGCATATTAATTGTAGAAAATGCCTTTGACAGATCTTAACTGACAATCTTTTGAAAGGTGTAAAACTAAAAGACACACAAAACTAAGGGTGAGTGGTTTAATAAACAGAGGTGACAAACCAATAAACACAAACACAGATTTTCCACAGATTTTTGTTATTAAATTCTCCACATTAAATGAGCTCTGCCATGAAATACAGACGCTACAGAGTAATCATGTATTGAAATGTAGCTGTACTGTGAAACCAGCATGTTGGTAGAAGCTGCCGTAGCATCAGCCATACTTTGCTTTTTCTGTTGCCAGAGCCAATCTGCGAATGTTTGCTATGCAACCAGCTGCTGCCTCCTGCAGAGTTTCATCTGCAGAGCCCACCATGGCCAGTAGGAGCTAGCAAAAATACGAAAGAGAAACAGCGTAAGAAACACAACCAAGTCTGCTATTATTTAAATAATATACAAAGCCTATCCAGAGCAATCGCATTAACCCCCACACATAGTAAATAAAATACTAAAGCCCATATTAACAACACTGTATTATATACATATGTATACTTATATATGTATACTTTTGTATACATATAGGTATTGACTTACACATAGAGCACAATGCTTTATATTTTGTCATATTTGTACCTATGAATCGATACTTTCATGCCTGATTTTCTGTTTATTGTATCACGTCTGTCTATTGGCTGCAACTTGGATATTTTCTTGTCAGTCGAATTTGCATGTGCTTGATTTGAAATCATGGTTTTACCCCCAAGGTATACTAGTGTATTTGTACATGCTTAACGTTTTTAATAAACAAAGCCATGCATTCTGTTTCTGGCCTTGATCATGAAACTGGATCCATGTGAATGGACTCCTGTGTCCCATTGACTACAGTAGGTTTCTTTATTGTCACAGCAAAGCACTCATGTTAAACAGCTTGAGGGATACAGATCTGGGCATATCAGTCTTAAACATCTGCATGTAAAAGTAAAAAACAAAAGCTCAAGAAAGGTGCCAAACTTCTGGAGCTGATTCAGCTTTTCAGTCATGTAGAGTAGATCCTTTACTCTGGAAGTCATTCAGTATTTTAGTGGAAATTCCCTTGGAGAAACATACTGTTGAACACAAGCATGACATAAGACAGACCTTGATGATAAAACATTTTTACATATCAGAAAACCATTAATAATGGTTTTGGATCTCATTTCCTCTGTGTGTTGGAAGTCAGTGATGCAACTGCAAATAAAATATATGTTGGAAAACAAAAGACTCTTGCTTAGCTTAAAACAGATCCACGCAACCCTCAGATTTCTGAAAATCTGCCAAGCTTAATATGTATTCAGGTATTTTGAAGCTCAGACAGCTCTAATTAAAACCTGTATTTTCAGTCTGCAATACTTAGGATTCTGTGTTCACCCAAACAATCTTGAGTCAAACCACAGAGAAATCTGTTATCACTCAACTCCATTGCATATTTTTCATACAGCTAAAATATTACACAAAATTATGAACTGCTAAATATAAAAGCATAAATTGAATGCAGACATCGAATTCATATGCTACCTTTTTCTAACCTTGCAGCAATCGTGAGGCATGGACCACAGCTGCACACATATGGCATTTGCTTAGAGATCAAAGCATTTTATACTTGAGGAAGTATTTGTGTTAGCCAAATGTACAAAACAAGCATCTTGCCAGTCACCTTTCACCCTTTGCCCCCTACATGTAACTTGTTAGAGCGCCTGTGATAGACCTGAATTATGTCAAAAAGAGCATTATATAAATTAAGCATCAATGATAAATTTTTATAGCAATTCTTCATCCTATCATTTCTATTACTGTATTCAGATGTCTATGCACAAGTAGCTAGACAAGAATACTTCAAGTATGAAGTATTTATACTTCATACACTCCTGAAAGGATATGCCAGAGTTAAAATTACATGAGAAGATTTTATATGAGAAAGCTTTACATTCTCATACTTTATTTGCATGTATAAGCTGGGCCAGGGTCAGCAAGCAAGGAAGTCAGTGGAAGTTTCAGTACTGACTTCAAATTGAAGCAAGACCAAGGAGCATGTCTCTGCAATGATAAAGCTGCTCTACAAAGCACAAAGGTCAGAATGCAAGTCTTATCAGATCGTTAACTACCTCTTTTTCTCAAGAAATATTGTTGGATGAAGACCCTTTTTCCTTGCTATTTTCCACCAGCTGGTTTCTTATCAGCTTAAACTATAAAGTGTTTCTCTGGGTGTCTCACAACATTCGTGCATAACTTAGAGGAAAACTGGTATAGATCCTTCATATCCCTGACTTCAAAACCAAAAATATGTATGCACATACTGTTCATAAGGTGGGTTTGGTAAAGCCATAAGCTTCAAATCTGGGGGCAAGTAAACTATATGCCTTAAGTGATTATTCACTGCATCTTCACAGCTCTAATGCAAAGCTTTTTTAGTGTAGTGACTGTGGAACTCAAACTTCCATAATTTCAGCATAGCATTTGTTATCAATGCATATGAGCTGAACTCCATCACAAAAATTACTTTTTGGAGATACATTATCTAGTAGAAATACAGCAAAGAGCAAAACCAGACCTTTATTATGACCACATTAGGCAGGACTCAATTCAAGGTTATTTCTTCTTTCAGCCACCACTTCTTTCTAGGCATAGACGACTTAGGCATTTTTCTGTCACTTTACATGGAGAGCTAAATATCAAGCAATGACAAGAGGGGGTGGGGGTGGAGTGTCTGTGCTTTTTGTTGCAGATCTATTTTGGAAAATCAAGGATAGGTGTCAAAGAAAGCACTACATGACACTGGTTCAAAGTACGCAAATAGAGGCCTAAAGATTTAGTGTACTAATGCAACCAATGCAAACAGCAATTTTTATAAAGATATCAAATACTAATTTTTTTCCTTATGAGTACAGGGGATCAAGGATCAGTTGCTCTCTAATTTGTTGTTCTTCTAAATCACTTGCCAGTGGTAACATCTGTAAGAACTGCCACGCCATACAAAATCCCATACTATGACTTCAAAGAAAAATTGTTGGGAACACCATCCAATACAGTAGCTGCCTCTGAGGACTGAGGATATTTAGCAACATTTGTTAGTTAACCTACTCCTCTTGTGCTAATAAAAAGGCAGCTGAAGAGACAATTACAGAAAATGCAAAATACTTCCATATACGGAGGTATTTAAGAATCTAATTTTGAAGATTTCTGATATAAATTCTGCCTTAAATTAAACAAAATTTTATTCTTTTCATACATTTTCATACTTCTTTCACTTCCTGACTGTCTTCTCTGAGCTTTTTTATGGGTTCAGTTCAATTTACTTGGATTTTGGGTCATCCAATTCATGTGTGGATATGCGTTAATAGATAGTATACACAGACTATACTCACATATTAGACACATTTGACAAGTCTGAGAAATATTCTTTTTTTCCTATGCACCAGTGCAATTTAACATGTCCTTTTTCTTGATGCAATGCCCTTGAACTTCATGTATCCCTCCCTTTACTGTTCAGGTATTGTTTTCTGACGTATGTAAATGTTAACAGATGTGAGAAGCAGTAAAAAAAGCACGTGTTGTAAATGCTTCTTTCTGGCACATAAGGGACACTTTCCATAGACAGCAAAAGCATTTGCAGCACAACGGAGCCTTCATTTTCTGTTGGCAGGTATCTATATTCTAAGGCAAGTGTACAGATGTTTTTGCACAGTTAGCACATCCTACTAGTAAATAAGCACACATAGAAGCTGTTTGGAGAACGTACAGAGCATATGTAGCATTTCTGGGTTCCAAAAGCAAGAGCAATGCACAGTCAAATCATTTAAATATTCAGAACAATTAAGATGTTGCTATTTTTAAATTCCCAGTTTTAAAATAGCACAGAATTGTGTTAGGATTGCACAATCATGGAATAATTCAGAATGGAAGTGATCTCAGGAGAACTCTAGTCCAAAGTTATAGTCAAAGCAGAGTCACCCACAAGGCTAGACCGGGTTGCTCAGAGTTTATCCAGCCTGATCTTGAAAACTTCCAAGGCTGGAGATAGCACAATCTCTTTGGGCAATCTGTTGCAGTGTTGGACTGTCCTTGCACAGAACGAAGTTTTCCCTGCACTGAGTTACTCTTGTTCCAGTTTATGCCTGTTGTCTCTCATTCTCTTGCCACGCATCACTGTGAAAAGCCTAGCTCCATAGTTTTGATGACTGATCTCCTCGTAGGCACTGGAATCTCCACCAAAATCTCCATAACCTTTCCAGTAAAACTGCTCCTCAGCCAGTCAATCCCTAGCCTGCATCACTGCAGGAACAAGTGCAAGTGCAAGTCCTCAGATGCAGGACTTTGTATCTGATCTTGCTGAATTTTGTCATGTTCCTGCTGGCCCGCTCCAGCCCTGCCTAGATACCTCTGAATGGCAGCCCTTGCCTTCACTGTATCAAAACCAGCTCCCCTGCCCAAACTGTCAACTTGGTGTCATTGCAAGCTGTGCAAGCAAGTCTTCCCTAGGTCACTGACAAGCATGTTAAATGGGATAGGTCCTAACAGAGAGAGCCCTTCAGCTCTCCTCTTGTCACCAGCTTCCAGGCAGAGTACAGCCTCTTAAGTACGACTCTCTGAGCTGGGTCATCAAACCAGTTTTAATCCATTTGGTTCACACATCTGGACTATAACACCTTGTAACTTGGACAGAAGCATGGTGTGGGCAACAGTGTTGAAAATCTTGCTAAAGCCAAGGTAAGCAACATCTACTCTCTTCTCTCATCTTCTACCTTAGACACGTAGAGGCCAATCAGGTTTACCTTTGGTAATTCTACGTTGACTGTTCCAAGTCATCTTCTTCTTGTGCCCAGAAATGCGTTTCAAGATGACCCCCTCTGTAATTTCCCAGAGGACAATGTGAGGCTGAGCAGTCTGTAGTACCCTAGACGAGGAGGAGGAACTGTTGCTCTGAAGACATGCTTTGCAAACTCCTCCTGTTGGGTCTTAATGGACTCTGGCATACCAAAGGCAAAACTAAACCAGAAAGTACTTTGTTCCTCAGAGCAGCAGTAACAGTAAAGGGATAACCCATAATATTTGCTTGCATAGTCATGCATCATGAATGATGCCACCTTCCACTACCTGAAAGCACTACTTTCTTCCTTATAGTATCTTTACTACCAAAAAATAACCAACTGAAAAAGTGTTCTTTCAAAGAAGATAACACAAGCATCAACATAAGAACTGGCAAAACTGTAATTTCAAAATGTATATGGATCCCTGGGTGAGTAAAACAACAATAAAAATGGGCTAGTAATTATCTTTTCTATGAAGATGTCCTTCTAGAATATTTCACTTAGATAAAAGGAGTAGTGCAAGGGGATTGGAAAACAGAAAAAG